CCACAAAAACTCTGATAATAAAGGAGGCATCGTTACTGATTCAAATGTTTTGATAAAGACAGAACAAGAATATTGCAAACAACTTCAAACCCACAGTGTGAAATGTTAGACAGACTGAAATTTTCTTCTAGGAAGACATGACATACCAACACTGCTACCAGAAAAGAAAAAGAGAAAATAGAATATATCCACGACTATTGAAGACAGAGGCCAAGGATTTAAAATCTACCCCCAACACAAGCACAAGGTCCTGAGTTCGATCCCAGGTACCAAAAAATAAAATAAAATAAAATCTACCCAACTACAAAAACAGAGTGGCAGAGTGTATCTTCTTCCACTGATGGAAAAAGAGGAATGATTTTTCAACTCTTTTGAGGAGACCCAAGGAAAAATGAGCAGAACTCTGAGTAATGCATATAAAGGGGAAGGAAGAACATCTAAGTTTCAAAAATCTGTGAAGAAAAGGGACCACAGAATTGTCACAGGATGGAGAACACTGTACCTGTGACTGCATGTGGGTCTTTATGATATGTGCACTAATTATCATCTAAACATTTGGTTTGCTGAGGGACCCCTGGATCAGAGTTCATTAATTTTTCATCTCCTAGGCGTCCTATCCCTCTCTGTTCCTTCCAACTCTTGGACTCTTCCCATTTGATTTATGTAGCAGGTCCAGTCCATATAAGTAGGTGCAATCAGGATTAGTATCTCTTGCATGCCTTTTATGTAGAGTATCATCCTAATCTCTTCCTGATGCTATAACAGAATACCCCAAGTCTTAGTCCATTTTCTGTTGCTATAACAAAATACCTGAGACCAGAAAATTCATGAAGAATAGAGGTTCATGTGCTCACTGCTGTGGAATTTGGGAAGTTCAAGAGCCTGGGGCCAACATCTGCTGAGCATCTGGCAAAGTCCTTTTCTTTAACTGCATCAGAACATACCAGAGGACACCACATGGTGAGACAGAGTGAGAGTATGTTAGCTGGGGCCCCTCCTCCTTCACTTATAAAGTCACTGTTCTCATCCCAGGTGCCCCACCTGATAACCTTATTTAATTCTATTTACCTCCAAATACCGCAAATACATGACACTGAGGATTCAGTTTAAAACAAATGAACCCTGGGGGGCAAACATTTAGCCACAGGAACTGAGTCACTCATAAATACTAGAAATTTATTTCTCACAGTTCTAGAGGCTGGGAAACTGCAGATCCAAGTACCGGCAGAAGTAGCACCCTGCGAGGACTTGTGCTCTGTCCCACAGATGACACCTGGCTGCTTGTACTCCCTGGGCAGAAGAGCAGAAGGAGGAGGGAACTAGGAGACTCCCTCAGACCTGTTCATAAAGGCCCTGATCCCCCTTACTCTGAAAGCTCCCACCACTTACTAGTATTGCACTGGAAGCTTTTTTTTTTTTTACTAGTACATGTTTGCAGTACATATGATTGTATCTGTTATGGGGAGTTAGTACATGTACATCACACACCCCTATTAATTTTTCATCTCATAGCCTTCCTATCCCTCCCTGATCCTTCCAACTCTTGCTCCTCTTCCCATTTGAAAAAGATCTTCCTACTTCCTATTACCTGTCTTTTATTTTGTTCTTTATTTGTATTTTGGGTTTCTCATCTAAGAAAAGCCATGTGATGTTTAAGCATACGTGTCTGATTTATTTCACTTAATAATATGGTCTCAAGGTGCATCCATTTACCTACGAATGCCTCAAATTTATACTTCTTTATGGAAGAATAGTACTCCATTGTGTATAAATACCACATTTTTTATCCATTCATCTGTTGAGGGGAATATAGGGCATATCCAAGATTTAGCTATTATAATTTGTGCTGCTATGAACATGGGTGTTCATGGGGATTCAGTTTTAACAAGAATGTTAGAGAGACATAAACATTCAAATTTTAGCCAGTATCTATGGAGCTGTTGTGTCAAGAGTAGATATTTTGTAACCTTAAAAGCTATCAGCAAGTTGGAGACCAGCCTGGGCTACAAAGTGAGCTCAAGGCCAGCCTGAACTGCATAGTGAGACCCTGTCTCAAAAAGACCAAAAAAAAAAAAAAACAACTATCAAAAGCATTTGGCCACCCACATGTGACAAAGAAAACTGAATGCCTTTCCATACACAAAAATTAACTCCAAATGGACCACAGATCTAAATGTAAAAGCTGGAAATGTGATACTATTAGAATACTACTGAGGAGTAAGTCTTCAGCACATTGGGTGAGGCAGCAACTTCTCACACAGAACATTAGAACTATAAGCAACAAAAGAAAAAATTGATCAGTTGGACTTCATCAAAATTAAACATCTTTGTGCTATGAAAGGATACCATCAAGAGACTAAAAAGACAACTCAGAAGAGGAGAAAATATTTTCAAATTATATATCTGAGACAGGCCTAGAATCCAAATATGTAACGAGCTATCGCAGCTCAACAGTCAAAAGAAAACCCAGTAAGCAGTGGCCAAAGAACTTGAATAGATATTTCTCCAAAGAAGACAAACAGCTCATGTGCACGTAAATAACTCGGCTTATTGACCACCAGGGAAATGCATTCAAAACCACAATGAAATACCACTTTATCCTACTAGGATAATAATAAAACAGCTAGGAAAGAATGTGGAGAAACTGGAACCTCACACACTACTGGTGGGAATGTAAAACAGTGCAGCCACTTGGAGAAACAGTTCCTAGAAGAGTTAAAACACAGGGTTACCACATGACCCAGCAATTCCACTTGTAGATATAAATCCAAGAGAATGGAAAACATAAGCTCACACAAAAACTTGTGCCCAGCCTGGCATGGTGGTACACACCTGTAATCCCAGAACTCTGGGAGGCTGAGGCAAAAGGATTGTAAGCTTGAGCCCAACCTGGGCAGCTCAGCAACTTCAGGAGACTCTGTCTCAAAATTTTAAATATGTATATTTAAAAGGGATAGGGATTGTAGCTCAATGCAAGGGTAGTGGGTCTGATCCCCAGGACCAAAAACAAATTTAGAAAAACTTATGCACAACATTCATAGCAGCATTGTTTACAATAGTCAAAAACAATTCAAATGCCCATCAACTCATCAGTTGCCAATGGGTAAACAAAATGCAGTATGTCTACACAACCAAATATTACTCAGCCATGGAAAGAAATAAACTACTGTTCTGTGCCACAATATGGATGAGCCATGGAAATATCATGTTAAGTGAAATAAACCAGACATAAAAGATCACATATTATAGGATTCCATTTATATGAAACATCCAAAATGGAAAAATCCATAGAGGTGGAAATAGGTTAGGAAACAAGTGGGGAAAAATGAGAACTGACTGCCAGTGGGTAGAGTTTCTTTTGGGGAGTGATAAAAATATTCCAAAATCTATGTAGCTAGGTGCAGTGGTCCATGTCTGTAATCCCAGCACTGGGGAGGCTGAGGCAGGAGGATCACCATGAGTCCAAGGCCAGCCTGAACTACAGAGCAAAATCCTGTCTCAAGAAACTAAAACAAAATAAAATCTATTGTGGTGAAGGTCAGACAACATGCTATGAACATACCCTGAGTTGGGTGCTTTGAATGGAGAATATATGGTTGTGAGTTACATCTCAGTAAAGTCTTTTTAAAAATCATATGGATCGTGTCTGGCAATTGAACAAATAGTGCACTTGTTGAAATGTATGGCTTTGAGGAAAAGCAGTGTTTTGTGCACATCTGGAGCACCAATTTTCAACCGAACAGGACAACTGCATCAGTGAGACAAGCCACACAGGTATCAACTCGGTGTCATCGCGGCTCTTTAACGCCCCCACCCCACAGTGCTTCATCCTAGACATTAGCCTCTGGAACCTGCTGATCACGTAGCTCATCCTCCATTTGAAGGGCTCCTAGTGATCTCAAGGCCTTCCCCTTGATTTGATAGATAAGGAAACTCCAACTCAGAAAGAGGTAGGATCTCCAGCTAAGAGTCACACTGCAAGGTTCTGGAGAAGCTGGGACTAAAATCTGTTAAGCACATCACTCTGTTCCACGTCCCACAAACTGGCCTTCCCAGCATGGCCAGGAATGGAACTCCCCAGCATCTGTCAGGACCCCACACAGCAGAGAGGTCAGGAGGCCCTTACTCATGGGGGAGGGACAGGAGAAGATGGGGCCAGTTCCGAGAAGGCAGCGGAAGCCCTGTTCTCATAAACAGCAGGCACACAGGGGGACACAGACTCAAGGAATGAGCCTTGAGATGTGACCCACAAGACAATAGCTCACACGTGGTCTGGGGTCTGTGGCTATTTGTTCCTGCCACAGAGACAGCTGTGAACTGGCCACCCACTTACCCACTTGTCCCCACTTCACATCTAGTATGACTTGGCCCCCCACAGTGTCCATGTGTCACTCCACCCATGGAAACCTCCCCACCTAACCCCCCACAAGGCAGAGGGTGGAGATGAGGGGCCCTGGTCCCACCAGCTCAGGCCCGGGCAGGGCTGGGGCACAGGTACGGGCAGGAAGTAGACACCCACTGCTCAGTGATGAGAGGACAGTCACGTACACTGACTCACCTCATCATTACAACCACCACCAGGGTCTACAGCACCATCTCTCCACTTTTGAATAAGGAGACTGAGGAGCAGGGAGGCTAAAACATCATGCCTGGCCACACAGCTAGGGCCTCGCTGCACTGGCCTAGACCCTAGCAGCTCTCAGCTCCTTCCCCAGTGCCTGTCACATCTCACTCAAGCAGGCAGCAGCAGGGGATGCCTGGAGACCAGCTCGGCCTCCAGCTCAGTCATGCAGAGTTCAAGTACAAAGGCACCGGCCCTGTGCTCACCCTGCTGTCTGTTCCAGGGGTCCCATGCCCAGGTGGCTGTGTGTGGCAGATGCACCTCTGGCCATCACCACTTACTTCCTGAGGGCTGTCACAGGCCGGAAGAGGAGGTGATGACAGGGGCGGTGCTAGTGGGACCTGTGGCCACAGTTCAAGGGTGGGCAGGAAGCAGAAATAATGCAAACGTGCTGGGGACCAACAGCACCATTCTGGCAGCCTCCACTGGGGAGGGAGTGTGTCCTCTGACAGCTTCTCCTCAGGATCCAGGTAGGGAGGAGGAAGAGGGGGGACTCAAGGGTCCTGGGAGGGAGTGTGGCTGCTTTGGGGCAGAGCGTGAGGGAGCAGGAAAGGCTGTGACGCCCCTATGACAAGAGACCCGGGTGTCAGAAGGCCCTAACCCTCCACTGCTAACTCACGGGGCAGCCTTGTGCCCACTCTGGGCCTCAGTTTCCTCATATGTGAATAGAGAGGTTTTGCACAGAGTCCGCGAGGTCCCTCCCAGTGCTGAAAATCAGAGCTTCTACAACCACGACAAAGAGGCTCCCTGGGCTGGTAAGATGAGGGCCAGGAAGGAGCTGCATCCCTGGGTAATTAAGGTCACGGAACATGTTGGCCTCCTAAGATGGGTGACTGTGGGGCCTTGGGAAGACTCTCCTTGTCCTATTTACCTTCCTGAACCCTCATGTTGTCTGCATTCCACCTCCAAGTTACTTCTTCGGGTAGGCGGGGCACCGTTAGAATACAAGGGACATGCACCAAGTTTGGTAGGAACCACCAGAGAAGACCTGCGCTCCAAGAGGGGTCTGAAGAGCAAACACCTAGGCCCTCCCACACCAGAGCAAGGTACGGGGGCACCAGCGGCCCTCAGCCATCCGGAGTTCAGCTGATGCTGAGAGGGAGAGTAAGGGCCATGCGTCACCTGGTGTCTCTTCTAGTTCCATTAAGGGCTCAGCAGGAGAGATCCGAGCTAGAGCCACAGAGGGAAGTATCAGTAGAGGAAAAGGTGCAAATTCTGGGACCAAATGACACTTCTACAGGACCTAGGCTTCTCCAGACCCTTCTTCCAAAGCTGCTATTGCTACTCTATCTCTTCTGTGGCCGTAACTACCCTCTCAGCTGCAGGAGTTATATCCTGGAGATGGAGCTATCAATTTAGAAACCCACTAGACCTTAAATAGCAAGGCGCTCCTCCTTGCTATGAGACTCTAGGCAAGACACTTACCCTTTCTAAGCAATGTACAAGGCAGACTAAGCCTGCAAGAAACAATCTATTTCTGGTATTGGGTAACTTAACTTAAAATAATTTCAGTCTCTCTCCTTACAATAGTTGACAGAATGGAGATGTCTAATAACCCATATTCCTCTGCTTACAGCTTCCCAGGTGCCATGGTCACCCACCTGCTCTTCCTGGGCATTCTCTTGGTGCTGCCCCCACCAGCCCCAGCTCCCTGCTACACAGCTGGGCCTTCAGAGTGCAAACAGAAGCGCAACTTTGTGCCGGGTGCGTGGCTGGCCGGGGAAGGTGTGGACGTGACCAGCCTCCGCCGTTCACGCTCCTTCCCTGTGGACACCCAGAGGTTCCTGAGGTCGGATGGCACCTGTACCCTCTGTAAAAATGCCCTGCAGGGGGGTGCTGTGCAGCTACTGCCTGTGGCACTGACCCACTGGCGTGCAGAGGGGCCTGGCTGCCAGCGCCATGTATCCAGAGCTGAAGTCAGTTCCACGGAGGCCGTGGCCCACGACGCGGCTTCCAGCATCACCAATGACTGGAAGGCAGGGCTGGATGTGGCTCCCCACCCCAGCCACAACATGCACGTGTCTGTAGCTGGTGCACACTCCCAGGCAGCAAACTTCGCAGCGGAGAAGAGCCACCGGGACCAGTACAGCTTCACCATGGATAAGGTGGAGTGCCGCCTGTACAGGTGAGGCTGGCAGGGGGGCTGCAGCTGGAAAACGGGGTGGAAACTCAGAGGGGTGTAGAAACTCTAGAGTGGCAGCATGGGGACTTGGAGGCTACTTCTAGCAAGAGGAAGCCACAGTCCTGATTCTCAGATCACAGCCCCATAGCCTCTTCCGTCCTCAAAGGCCCAAATCTGGGCAGCCCAGTGAAGAACCACGCAGAGGAGATGTGAGCAAGCCCGTGGGCCTCATTCAACCAGCATTCATGCTGGCCAGGCAGCCATAGTCACTACTCCAGCCCCATGAGCAGGGGACCCGGGACCCAGGTCCTACACTGAGCCAGTGCATGGTTACCACTGTCAACCCCACACTTGCCCTGTTTCCTCTGCTTAGAGGCCACATTCCCTGCACAGTGAGGCCCGGCACCTCTTGCTTGCATGACCAGAGCAGTCAGGAGCCCAGGCACATGGGCCCAATCCAGGGAGACAGATGGCTAGATGGAGGCCCCATCACACCTTCCAAAGCTGTCACTTACAATAAGAAAATAAAAAATTTTTAAATCCATTTTGAAAAAGAGGAAATACCAAGTTTGTATATATGCATATGCAGGATAGTTAACACAGGTG